GGTAAAAATAAAAGGGGAGCGTTGTATCCGTGACAAGGCAGCCAAATTCACCGGAGCACAGTGACCGGACCGACCGGCCAGGAGGGTTGCCAATGGCTTGCTCGAGCGTGTCGCAGCACGCCTGCGCCCGGCCGGCCGTCTGCTCTGCTGCCTCGCCTTTCTCACTGCAACACCCATTGCTTCGTAGCACGCCACTCCTTGCTCGGAGTCGGATCGGAGGACCAGTTGATGCTGCGACCGACGATTACTTCACGTCACACATCAGTCCAGTCATGCATCACTGCCAGTCTTTTTTTCTTCTTTTCGTATACTACTTAATATATTGTTATATAATTTTGGTCAAAATTTAAATCATTTGACTTGTCAAAAAAAACGAGAATTATATTCTTTTATTGAGGGACGGAGTATAATCTTATCATTGGAGTTGTAATCAGGCTCCCGATATTAACAACTTAGCAAAGGAACTATCATCCATTATTTGAGCTATATCAAAGTTGTGGAAGATTGATGATGTTCCTTGAGCAGTAGTTTTCGATTGTGCTGTTGTGGGCGACAGGAACAGGCAGATGGGAGCCGAGCCGAGAGTCGCACGCCGTTGGATGTGCTTTGAGATTTACGCTGCGGATGGATTAGGGCAGCTGACACGATGGGCACGCAACACGGCAGGAACAGACCAAACTAAAATATCGTCTGCCGTGATTAATAAAATATCTATCGTCTGCCAACAAATCATGGTAGATAATGACGTTTCCGTTTTGTGTTAATTTTTGGCTGCATGATAGTGCCCTCTCCTTGTCCGTCTTTATTTATATTTTTATTCGTTTTTCCTCTTTATTAGTTGTCCTTGTAGCATGCGTATGGATTCCTATACCTAATTGCGACATCACGCATTAGTGACCAAATTATCATTATGCACTTGCACATATATATACTATGTGTTAAATATATATAAAGCTCTCAAAACCCCCCCCCCTCTCTCTCTCTCTCTCTCTCTCTCTCTCTCTCTCTCTCTCTCTCTCTCTCTATATATATATATATATATATATATATATATATATATATATATATATATATATATATGGAGAGTATATTCAGTAGGCAGCTACAAAAATAAGTTATTCTGTAGTCACCTCTATTTACGATAATTTTATATACTAATTTACGATAATGTCAATACATATTTATGATAGTTGGGTTACTATAACATATGGGGATATTTACCATAACGTTACAGTAAACCATTCAGTAAGGAGTTACTATAATTTCATAAATTAACATAGTAATTATCGTAACTCAAAGTGGCTAGAGAATAAGTTAATTGTAGCACCTTTCTGAGGTAGTATATATATATATATATATATATATATATATATATATATATATATATATATATATATATATATATATATATATATATATATATATATATATATATATATATATATATATATATAGTAAGGCTATTCTGCAGCTGGCCACAGAATAATTTATTTTATGGCCACCTTGATTTACGATAATGTTTGTACTAATTTATGATAATGTCAACACATATTTACGGTACATGGGTTACTATTTAAGATAATACTTACCATAATGCTATAGTAAATCACTTGTAAGAGAGTTACCATAATCTTGTAAATTAGTATAGTAATTATCGTAACTCAAATTGGCCACAGAATAACTTATTCGTGGCTACTCTGTAATAGTACGCGTCTATATGATCACTCCTTAATTAAAACAAAGTTTTATTTGTGTCACTCCTCAAAACTATTAGATTGCGTTTGGTTTGGGTTAAAGCTTTGTCATGACAAAGCATAAACTAGTACGAATATGACAAAGTTGTGTCAATTAATCCATGATATTGGATATTTAATATATATACTCCGTACATGCAAACAAATTACAACCGGGGTGATCCATCAATCAAATTTAGATATAAACAGGAAAAGCACGTACGCACACAACCGTACCATTAATAGGGGTGTTTCGTTCCTCCTCCTAAACTTTAGTCGTTGTCCCATCGAATGTTTAGACACATGCATGGAGTATTACATATAGACTAATTACGAAACTAATTGCACAGTTTACGACTAATTTGCGAGACGAATTTTTTAAGCCTAATTAGTCCATGATTTGACAATGTGTTGCTATAGTAAACATGTGCTAATGCCGGATTAATTAGGCTTAATAAATTTGTCTCGTGGATTACTGACGAATTCTGTAATTTGTTTTTTTATTAGTATCCGAACGCCCCATACGATACCCTCATATGACACCTCATAAACTTTAGTCACCAGATCCAAACAGCCCCTACTCAACTTGCCGCTAACAATTACACCACTCTTGGAAACATTGGTCGAGAGTCCAAAGCATATGTGTAAAGAATTAATAAAGCAGTGAATCTTCTGACGGTAGGTTTTGGCTATATATCTTAATTTCATCAGGGTTCTAATATTCCATGGAAACACCTAACTAGTAGCCCGACCGTTCGATCAACAGAACATGTATTTTTTTTTTTAAAGTACACTTCTCTTTTCACACAAATCTTCAACCTTGGCATTATCGGAAAAGGTTGGATAGTTTAAAATGGTTTTTAGCACCTTAATTTGTTTTAGCTTTTTAGCTGATCGGAACATTACTTGTTACAACCACTATGTGACAAAATTAAATACATATTGCATATATAGCTAGCCTATAGGTGATGGTGATGATTAGCACAACTTCCATGGACCCGTTCGTTTCGCTGAAAAAAAGCTGAAACACTGTTCCGGATGATTTGTTACGAGAGAAAAATACTATTCTAACTGAAAAAACAAGCTGAAAAGGATGAATTATAAGACAAACGAACATGACCCATATATATATCCCCTCGTTCCCTCGTTCCATTTCAATAAAGTATGTATGAATAAGAAAGCTCTACTAAGGACAAAACCTACGCTAAATGGCAACGCCAACATTACTGTTGCTGGAAAGACTTCTGTCACTTTTGTCGCCCAAGCCAATTATTCAACATTCTCGTGGAAGTGTAAGCGTTCTAGTCAAAAATTTTCATTTCTTCTAGTTGGAAGATTTGAATTGTGTTGATTTTGTACTAGATTTTTTATTACAAGTGCAATACTTGTAGCTAAAATATATGAAACTTTGAATATAAAAGTTTTTTTTAGCAGAAAGATTAGGATAGAAGCATGAGGATATATAATAATAGAGTTAAACTTTCGCCTCGAAGCCAAAACCCCTTTTTATTTTTTTGAATACCGCCAAGAATACTGGCATATAATGTAAGACTCGTATTGGACATCTATACTACCCGTACGCTCAAGTACCCGAGATTTCTCGGAACGCGTCTACCGAGCACAGGCACGCACACACTACTCGCTCGGCTCCGCCCTCTTGGGAAAATCCCTAGTGTAGCACCTGGTTGGATCCTAGACAGGGAATCCAACGCGGGCGGGTGTGTCCACGACGGGAGGCGCCACCACCGCGTTACGCACGCGTCCGCAACCCTTTTAATTTTGAAAGCATCCCATACGAAGTGGATATATATACATAGTTTATTACTCTCTCCATTCTAAATTATAAGATATTTTAGTTTTTTCTAAAATACATTGCTTTAACAATGCATCTAAACATACTAAGAACGTAGAAAACTACGTACCTAGAAAAGGCAAAAATATCTTATAATTTAGAAAAAAAAAAGAGAGTAACATTTAATTTAACAATATAACATGGCGCCTCCATGCACTCAAGCTGAATCCAAAAACGAATCAATGGCAACATTGGTCACTAAATTAGCGCACAATCCCCTCCTTTAAATAAATCCCGTTGTATACAGTTTATATAAAGCAAAAAAAACATGTGAGCTTACCCAAGGACTTGACACCATTAAATTGTAGCATAACTAAAACACTAACCGCTTTGAGCGACATACTAGTGTAAAGTACTGCGAGTGCTCATGATTAACACCTCATCTGCGTCAGCTGTCATTGTTATAGCTTAACTAATTAATAAACACATAAATAACTCAGTACACTATGATGAGTGCTATCTGATCAAATAAACATCAATGATGATGATCAACACCCCTCTCCTGCTGTTTCAATGCCTAGTCAATAAGTTGTCCCAAACGCAAAACCTATGCTATATATATCACCAACAGCTACACTGTTACCGGAAAAAGACGGGTGTCACTTTTGTGTTAGCGCTGTTCTAGATTCTCAGGTGGAAACTTAATACAGTTCTAGTCAAAATTTTCTATTTTTATTACTATCTTATTAGCTGAAAGATTGAAGTTGTGCTAGAAGGTCCAATCTCCAATACTTTCAACTGAACTTTTAAAGTTTTATTAATCTAAAGTTTTTAATCAAGAAGAAAGGAGGGAAACATGGATCATATATACTGCATGCAGTCAAATTAACTTGCCTACAAAGCCAATCTTTTGTTAAAATCATCCCTTAACAATGGTATTACTATTATTTATTAAAAACGACTTGGATCATTTAAAGTGAGACTTAATATAACCTCATATGTGTGAATGTGTAATGCAAGAGCTAGCTAGTCTAATAACCAGAGGATCCCTTTGTTTCAATTAGGGTTAAGTTGTAGTTCTTGCAAATAAAAGGCCTAGAGCCCCAGATCAATCAACATGTTGTAGATAGCAAAAAGCAGCAATGACTGTACAAATCTCTCAGCAATCTTCTTGGTGGCACCATAGCATTAGCATATAAGAAGAATTGACAGTCTGATCCTTTTGTGATTTAATCGGACCCACAGCTAATCATCACTCCCATCAGCACAATCATAGATTAATCCAACGAGCAAACTAAAATAATCCTTGAAGAATAAACTAAGAAGCAATCAATGGAGGATCAACTCATCACAAGAGCAGTAGCAATCACCTAATCAAGCCACTAACTCTGCCCTAATCGCCGCCAAATGCCGCCTGCACCATCCACCACCAGCATTGCATTGCTACCTCATCATGCGATCGATCGATTCCATCCTTACTGGGGGCTCGCGGCGCCACGCCCAGCGTCGCCGCCGTTCGCGCCGCGGTGGCGCTGGGCCATCTCCGGCGGCTGCTGCCCCTCGTCCTGCTGCTGGTGCTGGTGCTGCTGCTGCTGGACGCCGCCGCCGCTGGCGTTGAGCGCGGCGAGCATGCCGATGTTGGCGTCCATCGTCGTCCCGGCGGGGAAGTTGTTGCGGCTTCTGCTTGTTGACATGAACTGGAGCGGCGCCTGCACCGTGCTCCCGCCGCCGCCGCCGCCGAACGCCCACGTGGGCTGCATCCAGAAAGCGCCGCCGCCGGCGCTGTTGGGCGCCACGGCCCACATTGCGGTGGTTGGCGTCACGCGGGCCTTGTGCTCCTCGGCGTCCCCCTCGGCGCCGCCGCGGCCGCCGTCGCCGTCGTCGGGATGGTGCTGGCGCGTGGCGGGGTCCTTGAACAGGTCGTCGGCGCCCTCCTGTAGCGCTTCCTCATGAACTCCCCGGCGCCGGGATCTTGCGGCGCCTGCTGGTGGTGGTGGTGGTGGTGCGGAGGCGGTGGGAGAAGCTGCTGCTGGTGGTGATGGTGGTTCCAGCCGAGCATGGCGGCGACCTCGTGCTGCGTGTGCGCCGGAGGGAGGTGGTGGAAGGCGGCCGCGGCGCGCGGAGGCGGAGGACGGGTGCGAGGCGCCAGAGCGGAGGGAGACGGCGAGCGAGGAGAAGTTGGCCGGGATGGTCCCGGTCCCGGTGGCGGCCACGATGGCGGGCTCCGCCTGCTGCAGCAGCCACTCGATGGTCTCGCCGTCCGTCTTGTGGCCCAGCTCCCGCGTGAGCTGGAACACCCGCGCCGCGCACAGCGCCGGCATCCGTATCCGCCGCCCCCGGCCCTCCACCTTGGTGTGCCGGTCCTTGGTGGGCCGCTTGTTGCTCCCCGCGGGCACCACGGCCTTCTTCTTGTCCGCGGCGGCAGCGCCGCCGGACGATCCTGCACCTGCGGGCGCCGCCGCCGCCGACTGCTGCTGCTGCTGCGCCAGCTGCTGCACCTCCCCCGCGCCGCCCACGACGGACGTGGCGGCGGGCGCGATGGCCAGCGACCCCATGAACGGCGCCATCCCCCCCGTGTTGGCTGCGGCGGCGTAGTAGAACGGGTGGTGCGGCTGGTGCCCCGCCGCCTGGTGGTGGTGGTGGCGCTGCTGCTGGTGCTGCTCGGAGGCGCTCCGGCTGCTGTTGGTGCTCGTGCTCGTGCTGCTCGACGGCGCGTCCATGATGCTTCGTCCGTTCGCCTTCCTTTCCTCCCGAGCGAAAGAAGCTACCTTTGGAGCGAGGGAGCTAGCTACGCTTGCTCTCCCGGCCGCGTGGTGTGCGCCTTCATGTAGCACAAGCGACGGCGGCGCGCGTTGGCGTCGGCGAGGAGAACGCGGCGGAGAAGGACGCGGCGGCGGCGTGTGTGCACCGTTGCACGTGCGTGGCAGACGCGGATGTGTGTGGGGAGTGGAGATCAGAGGTGTGGGGCTGGGAGGCGAAAGAGAGAGAGAGAGAGAGAGAGAGAGAGAGAGAGAGAGAGAGAGAGAGAGAGGGACGTGGTGGAGAGAGAAGCAGGGAGCAAGGGAGCTCAGGTCAGAGGGTGGATGGTGATGACTGACGAGAGAGAGGAGGGAGAAAGAGGGGTGGGGTTGGGTGTTCTCCCTTGATTATGTCATGGCCTGATCCCTGATGATGGCCACTACCCTAATTTCCTAAGCAAAACGCCATTGCTGGCCGGGGCCTACCCTGCAAACCTCGTTGCTTCTTCCTCCTTCCTCCCCCTCCTCTCTCTAAGATTTTCTAGGTGTAGGGGTGATGGATCCATGGATCATCTGTCCGTCTCCGGCCATGCATATATCTGCTGGTCCATGAGGTTAATATGGAGGTTAATCAATAATGGACAGCTAGCTGATGGAGCGTTTCTTGCCATTTCAGATTGGCAACTCGTCGAGTTCAAACACACACACGGATGAGGATGATGCCGGATCCATTGGTGATTGGTGTGAACGCGTGCATGGTGATCTTTCAAACTTGAGAGAGAGAAGCGAGATAATCTATCCGAAGTGGAAAGTTTGTAGGCTTGGAGAGAGCTGTACACATATATGCATAATGCTCTTGCGTGCACTACTTTCCATGCACGATTCCATCTATGGACCCCCTCCCGTGACAGCACATTGTTATTCCAACGGAATAATCATCCCTATTATATACTCCTAAGTAGCTAGCATGCATGCAAGGTTCATGGTTGACCAAGGCCCTATTCATTTGTTTTATAATTCGTACTTTTTGACTTATTTTTTCAGTTGAAACGGTATTTCGGCTCGTTTTTTCAGCGAAGCGAACGGAGCCCAAAATGGTTTGTATTTTTGCTAGAGTGGTCATAAGATTGTTTGTACATGCATGTTTTCATTTTTATGGGTCTACTCTAATATATATTTTTGTTTTGAGCAACAAGGGTTAATTCACTCTAATAACAATTATGTTTTCCAAGAAAAGATTAAATAGAATTAAATAGAGATTTGGCCTGCGAGGGAGCCAGGGAGGGAGGGTATGTAATTAGCAGTGGGGTGTTTGGTCCAACTCCTAAACTTTAGTCGTTGTTCCATCGAATATTTGGACACATACATGAAGTATTAAATATAGACTATTTATGAAACTAAATGCACTGATTAAGACTAATTTGCGAGACGAATTTATTAAGCCTATTTAGTCCATGATTTGACAATGTGGTGCTACATTAAACATGTGCTAATAACGAATTAATTAGGCTTAATAAATTCGTCTCGCGGATTACTGAGAACTTATGTAATTTTTTTTGCCCTGTTCGCTTTGGCTTATGCTGATCTTATACTGAAATGTTGTAAGAGAAAAACACAGTTCCATAGCTGAAAAATAACTCAAGCAAATAGGGCATTTAGTAGTATCCAGACATCTCTACGTGATACCTCATGTGACATCCGATATGACGCCTCTCCCCTACATCAAACACCCGCCTGCTGCTAGGCCACTCACTCACTCGTGGGGCCTTGGAATGATGAGGAGCTAAAGAGGGCAGAGCGGCCCCTTTTCCCTTTGAGCCGAGACACGCCTGAGAAACGCTAGAAAGCCCCCCACAAACGCACCCCCTCCCACACACTGTCCTTCTTATCACTTATTTTACTTACCAATTCAAACTGTGTGTGAGCAAGAACTTCTCTGTTAGTGATGCCATAGGATAAACTAAGACCTACCGCAGTATAAACTAAGTATGATAGTTACTGTAGCGGAGTTTAGTATTTATTATAACAGGAGAGAGGGTCTAGTTTCCTCTTGTAATGCACACGACTAGCAATAACAATGTCAATATTTTTTTCTACCCTTCTCCATTTAGCATAAGTTAGCCGTATAAATCATTAACTTATTCTCCCATCATCTTTGTAGTTCTAGACTACTCCATCCGTCTGAAAAATACCACAATTCTAGAAATAATAGTACCAAGGCAAAACCATCTTAATAACTTTGACCAAGTTTATACAAAAAAATATCAATATTTGTGATACTAAATAAGTATATATCGTCGGTCAATTATGAAAAACGTATTTGTATAGTATCTCTATTTTGTGCCACGTGCAACTATTCATACTATTTTCTACATATTTGGTCAAACTTTAGATAGTTTGACTAGTATATACAGAACCAAATTACATTCTTTTCTTTTCTGGATGGAGGTAGTATTTACCTAGGTTTAATGTTTCGATTAAAAGCAACCAATAGTAATGAGTTTACAATAAAATAAATAAATGCTTGACTATGTAACCGTGTCTTTTTTATTTTATCTGATCAAATCCGAGGACGTCACACAGATGCCACGGTCCACATAATAAGAGACCAGAGGGAGGAGCTCTATGGCAAGAGTCCTGCACCACCACAACCATCACCCACCTGTGTTGTGGCTTCTTTCAATTCAATGATGTGTATGTGTTGTCCGTGGGTAGACGGGAGCGGGGTAGCGGAGCGACGGGGCGGGGGGAGACATCGCAGGTGCGGGGTGTCAGAGCGGGGAGCATCTAATGCTGCTGACAGCTCATCCCCAACAGCGCCAACCAGGTCTCTTCACTCACCTCCACACACTCCCACACTCACTCTCACACACTACCACCCCTGCTGCTGCTGTCGCTGCTTCTGAGCTCCTCCTCCTCCTCCTCCTCCTCCTCTCTCTCTCTCTCTCTCTCTCTGCAAAGTTTCAAACAGATATAGAGAGGCAAGGCAAGGCCGCATGCTACTCCTGTCGTCTCCATGCATTTCCAAGGATCATCAAGGGTTAATCACAAAACGATGCTCCACTCAGCTCTCAATCATATCCAAGTCTACCTAGCTACCAGCCGGCCACGGCCAGTATTGGCTCGCTCTGAATTCAAGAAATATCGACGACAAAAGTGCTTGCTATCTACCTACAACCTACTACCGCCCTCTCGTGCGTACGGAGTAGTATGCATGCATTGGCACCTCATGTTCGATCTGTCTGGCCGGCGGGCCCGGCTCCAGTAGTAGTCCTCCACACCTTTGCCTTGCATCATCACTCACACACAAAAACAAATCATACTATGTTTTTTTTATATATACTAGTAATATATAGGCTCTGTTCGCCTGAGCTTATAAGCCAGAATCAGCTTTACTTTTCAGTCATAGAATATTGTTTTTCTTTCACAACAAATCAGCCGCAGCAGCAATAAATCCTACCGAACGTAGCCATATAGTTACCGCTATAGAAACCATCTTTACAACTGGCGAGGAATGAACAGTTAGTGATGAATGTACTACTCCCGGTTGTTTACCTAGAATGAGATTGATGTCTGACTCATGACATTAATTTGGGACTTGTATGTATGATCGATTTTCGGAGATAATACAATTTATGTTTCAAGGTCGTGTTGTTAAAAACGTGATCCTTGATCAGATTGGACCTTGAATGGCAGGATCACAAAGCATAGAATAATCATAAGAATATATTAGAATCGAGACTCAACCCGATAAACTAGGATGCATGGCAAAGCCGTAAAATCGCATCATAGAATCGTGATTTTAACAACTATATACTAAGCTTGTTACTAAAAGAAAGCCAGAAATGAGCAGGTCGTAATGGCGGCAACCATGGAGTTCTCGTTCTTTTTTTTTTGCGTGTTGAAAATATATTACTCCCGGCTCTAAAATCGGTAGCCATAACTACTCCTTTGGACACCCTCACCAATAGAGCCAACTTGCTACTAATGCAATATGAACTTAAAAAAGGATAAAAATAGAGAAACCTATATGCTACTATAGCAAAACGTGTGAGCATATATAGACACATGAATCATAGAAAAGTGTATGCGCTTAGCTCTTCATGAAGAGCTACCTTATACCATTCTCTCTCCTTTTTTTGTTGAATTAATATTTCTATGAGCTAGATGTTTTAACATTGTCCATGAAGAGCTACCTTACCATTCTCTCTCCTTTTTGCTGAATAAATGATCTATGAGCTAGTTGGTTTAACATTGTTGGAGCTGCCCTTACAATAGCATGCATGCTCCCGGTGGGAGCAATACAAAGGGGCTAGAAACGGGTTAAAAAGCCGTGTTACTATGGTGTAGTGATTACGCGGTTTAAATTACTCTATTCGTCCCTTTTTATCTGTTGTTCTCACTTCTTGAGAAATCAAACGTACTCAACTATTGTCCCTGTTTGGATCCACTCAACGAAAGTTGCTAGCTAAAATTAAGCTAAACTTTAGCTGGAGTGTTTGGATCCTCCAGGTAATAGACTCATCTAAACTTTAGCTGAGTTTAGCTAGGTTGAAGCAGCTAAACTCAGCTAAAGTTTAGCTGGTCTTTTAGCTAGGCTGTTTATATCCCTAGCAACTAAATTTAGTCAGCTAAGGTTTAGTTGGTGGATCCAAACAGACCCTTTGACTAAATATATACAAGAAAATATTAATATTTATAATAGATAATTAGTATCATTAGATAGATCGCTGAATCTATTTTTTATAATAAATTTATTTGAAGATATAAATGTTCCTAATATTTTTAAAGGAACCTAGTCAAAATTGAGAAAATTTGAATAGCATGTTTCCCATAGCAACAGATAAAAATGACACAGGACTGTAGGTTACTACTAATAACACAATGCTAGCACTATATGGTAATAAAACATTCAGCAGCAGCAGCAGCAGATGTAGGATCACACCACCATTCATTTTTTACGGCCTGCAGAAACGTCGAAA